TCTTAAATTTTATTCATATTCAAATATTAATTTTTCAGGTGTTTTACATATATATTCAATGTAAAATAGAATAAAACTGCCACTTAAAACTGGTTAAATTAGAATTAAAAACACCAAACCTAAAAACCAGTAAATTTTTATAACAACTGCAAACGTTTTCACTCATGTTGAATCGGCATCATCAGGCAAACTACTCACCAAATGCTGAAACAAACGTGAGATTGTTGAACATGTGTGCAAAGGGGAGGTGACATAAGATGAAAGAAATGAAGAGGGGAGATAGTAAGATTTATAGTTGCAAAAATCAGTAGTTTTTTTTTTTTTGCAGGTGGAGCCTTATACGAGGGGGGCCAAAAAAACCGAACTGAGAACGTGCTGCCATTTAGACATAGTAGAGAGTTCTCCCATTATATGGGGTTAGTAGAGACTTTCACAAAACAGTTGTGAAAATGGCGTCAGTTTGTAGGTTTACATTTGAGCATAGTGTTATGTTTCTCTTACTGTTATTTTGATCCACCTGCGAAGTTCTGGGCATCCTTCAACATCTCGTAATGATGAAAACGTTGAAAAAATCCGTCAAAAAAATGTTAAGATGTTTATGAGAGGATGTGCATAGGTCACCAATCAACTTGGCGATCAGGTGACTGGTTTCTTCATCAGGACAACACCCACGCACACACTGCCTTATGAGTGACCCACTGTTTGGCTTCTTGGGGATGGCCTGTCATTCCCCACCCTCCGTATTCACCAGACCTAGCCCCGTGCGACTTTTTTCTGTTTCCGAGAATGAAGAAAAATCTAAAAGGGAAGCATTTTGATGATGTGGAGGCAGTAAAAATAGCTTCACTAAGGGCACTGGACAATATCAAGTTTGAAGAGTTCCAGAGATGCTTCAAACAGTGGGGAAAAAGACTTCACAAGTGCATCGCATCTAATGGAGAGTACTTTGAAGGTGACTGAAGAAATTTTGTAAAGAAGTTAATAAAGTTTTTATATAAAAAATCCGATTTTTTTTTGGTCCCCCCACATATATTTTTACCTGCTCAAGATGTTTGAGAAAGGGTTGCCTTGGAAAAGTTAAGAATTACTATATTTGTAATTTAGCTATTTCTTTTGTAAAATTTTGTATGTTCTTGCTAAATGTTATATTTCATATATATATATATATATATATCTGTAACTAAAAAGACTTATGAATTAGCTTTAGAAAGGAACCTATTACTAACAATAATAGTGTATGAAGCATATAGTTTCTAAACAGTCAACTTCACTCTTTCTGGATCTGGAATGTAAGAGCTATGAATGTGGCTGATTTTGAAACTAACCTCCAATTTTCATCTCCTTTCTTATTCACACTTTCTGTTTTGTGACTAGTTTAGAAATTTATAACAATCTTCATTGAAAAGAGAAGAAAAAATTGTAAGATCGGATGGCTGGCTAATTTTTTTAAAAAATGGAATTAGCCATTTTTGAAACTATACACTTCATATATTGTTTGGTATTGAAACTGGAAAGTTGTTTTTAACTCTACAATTTGATATAAAAGTGTTTAGATGGTTTTAAATGTCAATTGGCCTTTAAAATAATAAAAATAAAGATAAAAAAAAGTAAAGGTAGAGAAACTAGTGTTAACAATTGCAACCTTAATATTGTTAATTCTTCAGAAAAATATGTTTGTCTGAAGAATAGAGTAAAAACGTTTGACATATTGCGGGTCAAAGCTGAATGGGACCAAGCAAGACTACTGCAAGTAGTTCGAGACCATAAACACCGGCATTACGCGGAAGCCTGGCAGATTTGTAAAGCAAACCATGAAGGCCTTGCAATCAACGTTCAAGAATCGACAAAAATATCGGCAGCATGGTCCTCTAGCTTAATATAAACCTTAATAATCGAGGGAAGCAGATACTATGCATCCTTATATCTTAAGCTATGTATTTATGTGTGATGATTGGAGGTGGTAACATTCAAAAAGTTTGTTCGTTTGTACTAAGCGTTCGATTTATACAGTTTTATCTTTTTATTTTGCTTTCTCTTATTTCTTTGTCTTGAGAAAGGTCATTTAACATGACTGAAAACGTTTGAAGTAATAAACTTTGGCTGCAAGATAAGGTGTCATAGTAAGTCTTTTGGTATTAATACTATGCAGTCTCGAACGAATTGCATTTCCTACTATCTGGTCATCTCATTCATCAAATCTTAATCTGTGTAATTTTTGGTTGCAAGGAGGACACTTAAAAAGTGTGATTTATCAAGGACATATTGTAAATTTGGCAGCATCAAAAGACAGTACTACATTGCAGTTGAGGAGCATATGTACTTAATAGAATACATTACATTTTTTTACCTGTTTGCTACTGCTTAGTAGCAAGTATTTCAAATGTGGTTTTTTTTCACCTAACACACTTAGTTTTATGATGATAAGTTTAGTTTAAAACAACACTTTTTGCATCTATTTCCACCACTAGATTTACTATTATGTTTTGGATGCATTTTTGAAGCACTAACTGTAAAAGTTTATAAAAAATTGCAAATAGTGGAAAATGCCATTAGTTCAACAATTACCATGATATATATTTTAAATTAACTTGTAATACTTTTTATATGAATGCATAAAGATAAGTACTGGCAAATCATAATATAAAATGAATATAATTAGGAAAAGTTATAAGTAAAACTGAACTTCTTTCCCATTGAAAATTTGAGAGTAGGTTGCCATTTTGGCCCTGTGGCCTCTAATCATTTACTTTACTGGATAAGTGTTATTTTGATCTAGCACCAGCTATCCTGAAGGAAATTTTGGAGCAAATCTGTTACTAGATGGTTTGATTAGTCTTTCATTCTTATAAGTGAAAATTAATAGTTTGGGTTTATTTGTTTATGGCAACCAACACATGGGTGCTCTTCCAAGAGGGAATGTCTTCCAGGAAATCTTTTATGAGAAATTGGCCCTATTTAAGGGTTACTAATGTGAAGAAAACCCAGTAAACTCCACATGGTTGGCTTGTTGGCCAGGCATGAACCTGCGATCGATACTAGTGTTTAGTGATTTTATCCACTTGGCCATTAGTGGGCATGTGAAAATTAATAATCTGTATTGATTTTACTTAACAGTATTTTGCTTAACAGCATTTATTTAGTTTTGTTATGAAATTAAAATATAAATTAACATAAAATTTGAAATGACAATTGATCAAATTTTTGCCAATTGATTAATTAGTGATTTTATAATTTTACATTGCAAATGTCACCAATCAACAGTTCATTTAGCAAAATTTGATACATATTTTTTGGTGGCACTTAATTTTTTTATTTAAGAATTATAAAAGTGGTAAGGAATAGGAAAAAATATAATTATCTAATTGATTTAGAATCCATGATTAATTTTTACATTAGTGGCAGATATCAGAAAACTTGTATAAGCACAAGATCTTTATGATCTTATTCTTAAATTTTATTCATATTCAAATATTAATTTTTCAGGTGTTTTACATATATATTCAATGTAAAATAGAATAAAACTGCCACTTAAAACTGGTTAAATTAGAATTAAAAACACCAAACCTAAAAACCAGTAAATTTTTATAACAACTGCAAACGTTTTCACTCATGTTGAATCGGCATCATCAGGCAAACTACTCACCAAATGCTGAAACAAACGTGAGATTGTTGAACATGTGTGCAAAGGGGAGGTGACATAAGATGAAAGAAATGAAGAGGGGAGATAGTAAGATTTATAGTTGCAAAAATCAGTAGTTTTTTTTTTTTTGCAGGTGGAGCCTTATACGAGGGGGGCCAAAAAAACCGAACTGAGAACGTGCTGCCATTTAGACATAGTAGAGAGTTCTCCCATTATATGGGGTTAGTAGAGACTTTCACAAAACAGTTGTGAAAATGGCGTCAGTTTGTAGGTTTACATTTGAGCATAGTGTTATGTTTCTCTTACTGTTATTTTGATCCACCTGCGAAGTTCTGGGCATCCTTCAACATCTCGTAATGATGAAAACGTTGAAAAAATCCGTCAAAAAAATGTTAAGATGTTTATGAGAGGATGTGCATAGGTCACCAATCAACTTGGCGATCAGGTGACTGGTTTCTTCATCAGGACAACACCCACGCACACACTGCCTTATGAGTGACCCACTGTTTGGCTTCTTGGGGATGGCCTGTCATTCCCCACCCTCCGTATTCACCAGACCTAGCCCCGTGCGACTTTTTTCTGTTTCCGAGAATGAAGAAAAATCTAAAAGGGAAGCATTTTGATGATGTGGAGGCAGTAAAAATAGCTTCACTAAGGGCACTGGACAATATCAAGTTTGAAGAGTTCCAGAGATGCTTCAAACAGTGGGGAAAAAGACTTCACAAGTGCATCGCATCTAATGGAGAGTACTTTGAAGGTGACTGAAGAAATTTTGTAAAGAAGTTAATAAAGTTTTTATATAAAAAATCCGATTTTTTTTTGGTCCCCCCACATATATTTTTACCTGCTCAAGATGTTTGAGAAAGGGTTGCCTTGGAAAAGTTAAGAATTACTATATTTGTAATTTAGCTATTTCTTTTGTAAAATTTTGTATGTTCTTGCTAAATGTTATATTTCATATATATATATATATATATATCTGTAACTAAAAAGACTTATGAATTAGCTTTAGAAAGGAACCTATTACTAACAATAATAGTGTATGAAGCATATAGTTTCTAAACAGTCAACTTCACTCTTTCTGGATCTGGAATGTAAGAGCTATGAATGTGGCTGATTTTGAAACTAACCTCCAATTTTCATCTCCTTTCTTATTCACACTTTCTGTTTTGTGACTAGTTTAGAAATTTATAACAATCTTCATTGAAAAGAGAAGAAAAAATTGTAAGATCGGATGGCTGGCTAATTTTTTTAAAAAATGGAATTAGCCATTTTTGAAACTATACACTTCATATATTGTTNAACCTGCTTTATAAGAAAACAAACATTTAATAAATAAATACACATCTATACTTTTTAGGTAAAAATACTGTAATAAGTCTGAAGAGAAAAACACCAGCACCACCTGCAGTAAAGAAAGTTAGAAGAGTACTTCCTGAACATGAAGGAACATATAAAGTTAAAATGCCTGCTGGAACAACAGAAAGAACTAGGAAAATATTGAATCAACAAAGATTAGAAAGTGGTATGTACTAAAAATGCAATTTTGTATATATGATGATTCAAAACATTGAAATTTGGAATCAGATTTAATAAAATAAATGTAAATTTTAACATTTTGATCCTGTACTTTTGTTAATGAGCTTAAGACATTTTTATTTAAAAATTAATTGTATGTTCTTTGGAACTAGCATAAAGTTGCTATTGAGAACAAATCATACAGAAACACTTTTTTTGATGGAAAAAATACATTTATTTTCTATGATTTACAATGAATATGCATTTCAGACTCTATGTTCCTCTTCAATCCTTACTTTATTATGTAAATAAATCCACTTTTTCCATCAAATGGAGTGTTTCTGTATGATTTGTTCTCAATAGCAACTTTATGCTAGTTCCAAAGGACATACAACTAATTGAAAGAACTGCAAGCAGTCAAGTACTAAAAATTATTATTATTATTTATAGCCAAAAGATCAGTGTTTGATCGACTTGGTGATAGTGCTGTAAGCAGCTCTACTGATGTTTCAACAACAAAGGTATTACATTAGTTTTTTTAAATGGTTAAGCAATCAAAATCAAATGTGAATTTTTATAGTTAATGTTGATATTCTTGTTTATTTTACACAAATTTAGATCTATTAACTGTATACAACTTTACTTTCTATCTCATTAAATGATACAAAACGACTTAGCTTTACACACACACACACACACTCACTTTGTAGTTTGTCATCAACTGAACACAGCACTGTCTTGAGTTTTCTTTGGTCTTTGTTTACAAATTAAATATGATTTCCAATAATTAAAATTTCAGATGTTCAGATATTGTTAATTATTAAATTTTTTTTTTCATTTAATTTTTTATAATAAATTTGGTTTTTATAATCTATTATAAAATAANCTGCAAACGTTTTCACTCATGTTGAATCGGCATCATCAGGCAAACTACTCACCAAATGCTGAAACAAACGTGAGATTGTTGAACATGTGTGCAAAGGGGAGGTGACATAAGATGAAAGAAATGAAGAGGGGAGATAGTAAGATTTATAGTTGCAAAAATCAGTAGTTTTTTTTTTTTTGCAGGTGGAGCCTTATACGAGGGGGGCCAAAAAAACCGAACTGAGAACGTGCTGCCATTTAGACATAGTAGAGAGTTCTCCCATTATATGGGGTTAGTAGAGACTTTCACAAAACAGTTGTGAAAATGGCGTCAGTTTGTAGGTTTACATTTGAGCATAGTGTTATGTTTCTCTTACTGTTATTTTGATCCACCTGCGAAGTTCTGGGCATCCTTCAACATCTCGTAATGATGAAAACGTTGAAAAAATCCGTCAAAAAAATGTTAAGATGTTTATGAGAGGATGTGCATAGGTCACCAATCAACTTGGCGATCAGGTGACTGGTTTCTTCATCAGGACAACACCCACGCACACACTGCCTTATGAGTGACCCACTGTTTGGCTTCTTGGGGATGGCCTGTCATTCCCCACCCTCCGTATTCACCAGACCTAGCCCCGTGCGACTTTTTTCTGTTTCCGAGAATGAAGAAAAATCTAAAAGGGAAGCATTTTGATGATGTGGAGGCAGTAAAAATAGCTTCACTAAGGGCACTGGACAATATCAAGTTTGAAGAGTTCCAGAGATGCTTCAAACAGTGGGGAAAAAGACTTCACAAGTGCATCGCATCTAATGGAGAGTACTTTGAAGGTGACTGAAGAAATTTTGTAAAAANTTTTCCTCTGTGTGCAATAAGTTTCCCTACTTCATTGGAAGTAATCTGTGCTTTGTCAGACACTTTTATTGTGTTTTCAAATTTTTGTATTTGTTTGGTACTATTATTAATTGTTCAAAATATCTTTTGTCTTTAGACATCAGATTTTGATGAACTTTTTCCATATGGTATTTTAGCTTGCTAGGACCATTGCACTGTTTGCTTTTTTATATTCACATACAACACATAAAGGTAAGGGGAAATTTATGTCCCCTATCCATGTAAAACCAAAATTTAAGTAATCTTCATTATATTTTCTTGTACTAATTTTCAATTTTTTTGGCTGAGATTCATCAGCACTGATATTGTCCATATTATCACTGTTTTCAATGGATATATTTGTATCTGCTGCAGAACTATTGTTGTTGACATCAATAGTTTTGTTTTTCTTAAAAAATTTTTGTTTATCCATTTTCAGTCTTTCCTAATAAAAAAAATGGTTTTATAGAATTTTTAATTTTTATATACATTCAAATTACGTTAATAAATTGCCTAACCCTAAATTATTTACAACACAAACCCGGTTTAATATGACAATATTAACATGATATACATAAGCATATGTAATATGCCACATGCCTACACATATATCTCTGTAAGAACTGGAGAGATTAAAGACGGGATTTCATAATTTCATATTTTGAATTTCTTAGATAATTCAGGGGTGCCTCACACTTATACAGTATTGTGTTAGTCTGATTTACATAGTCTGCAGGCAACAGATAATTGGTCTTTATTCAAATAGTGTTAGCACCTGAATGCAGACACCCTGTATTTGGATATGTCAATTTCAATTTGTCATAAAAAGATCCTTTATGTACTTTATTATTAATAATATTGCACATATACTTGGACAATGATGTTGAAATAAAAGTGATGTTATTTTTTTTAAGATTTTGTGACACATTTAATGTGCTGTGGCACACCCTTTGAGAAACACTGGATAGCACATTCAGAGTGTTGAATTTTTGTAATGACTCCTTGTTTTTCTAACTTGTCTAGGGCTTCTACTGCTTGTAACATGGCAAACAGAACTGGGCGTGGCTTCTTAAACTGTGGTATAGCATCCCTTTTTCATTTTGATGTGTATGTTCACAGGTTCCAAATGCAAGATTCCTCTGAAAATTATTCAATTGCAATAGAGAACCCATGATTTAACAGGACATTAGTATACATTGTGGCAACAAAATAAAACCTAAAACAAAGGCTTAAAGAACATAAGTATACCATTGATAAGAAACTTTGCAACACAGCATATGCTATCCAACAAGAAGTACAGGTCAAATGGGAAGATGCTACAATCATCCAAACAGCTAAGGACTTCAACACACTTAGGCATTTAGAATTAATTAAAGCAGGTGGAAGTTCTATTGGCTTTATATATTTCTAAGGTCTAGAGACCCTTAGAAACATATAAAGCCAATAGAAATTCCACCTGCTTTAATTACAGGGATGCAGACTCACTATCTATTGCATTGAAGTCTCTATATGAGCTTTAACTTGACTTCCTTTAATGAGCACTTCTACATTATTATTTTATTGTTATTCTTATTTTATTATTTTATAGCAGATGATTCCAGTGTTGCTCAAGCAAAAAATAATAACAGCAAAGATTAAGATTATTAGATTATTTTGTACTTCTAACCTTTCTACTATATTATATTATAGTATTTGATTTATGTTTACAAATGTTATCTTATTATGTTAGTTCATCATACCAAGTGCCCAATCTAACACATTTTAAAAGTTCTTTTTTGAAAAAATTTGGAGACCTAAAAGACACCCAAAAATTGAAGAAAAATTTTTTTTTCGGGGCTGAAAGGACTGAGTTTTTTGTAACGCTATGTAAACTTGACGAGTTATCTCGTCAATGGGGAGGAAGGGGATTGTATAGAGTAGAGGAATAAAGAATTTTTAAAATGTGTTAGATTGGTCATTCATGTGATAAGCCCTTACATAAGACAACCTTTATAGTTATATAGCTTATCTTACCCATTTTCACCAGGTGCAAGACCCTCTTCTTCCAAAGCTAATTAGAGAATTTTTAGACGGATCTAAAAATATGTTCAATTTCCCGCAAAAAACTGCATCTAAAATAGTATAGTAGAAGCCAAGTTCTTCAGGATAATCCTTAACTCTCTCCCTTTCCCCATGGGGAAATTTCGAAAAATCCCTTCTTAGTGTGCATTCTCATGGTGTACCCTGTGTACCAAATTTCAACTTTCAAATCCTAACAGTTTGGGCTCTGCACTTATTATTATTATCATCATCATTATTATTATTATTTATATTTTGATCTACATACACACTATATGGGGTACCGAAATCTTGAGTGTTTTTATGGTCTGTAAATAATTGCTTCATGCAAGTATTATAGTTTTTATTATTATTTATATTTTGCAGATTCAAAATTCTTCTGTATTTCAAAGATTAGGTCCTTCTAAAACTCAGGTAACTACATCTAGTCCTGCCAATATGAATGACGATGATGAGGATGATGAAAGAAATAAGGCAATTTCACCTTTACCTTACCAAGGAGTTTTAAAAATTACAGGAATAAAGAAGACAATTCCTTCGAATACAATAAAAATTACAAAAGGTTTGCCATAAATTATTTTTAAAATATATGTTTAATTTAATTAAAATAATAATAATTGTGTAGTTTATTAAAAGTTCTGTTAGGCTGCCTTCAACAGTCTAATGTTAGTGTTTTATGTCACTTTGTGATGCTTTCTGCATTTTTTGTAATTTACAATAATTTTTTGAAAATAATGTATAAATCTAATATTATTTACAAAAAATTGTTATAAATTACAAAAATTTATAATTATTCATTATCAGCATTGTCTCCAGTATATTATTCTGAAGATAATGCTGTTTTGTCAGAAGTTTTACCAGAAATTATTAATACCTTTATTAAGTGGAAGATTCTTTTGTTAAAAATGAAAGTTCTGAATGTATATATATTATTTATAATTATAATGAAATTGAAGTTAGACATTATAGATACATTCAATTAGAGATGATACAATACTGAATTCTACCAATATGATTCAGTACTAATAATTTTTCAATCAATCTGTTTCAATACTTGCTTTTATCTATACTCTACAGTTGTCTGTAATAAATGAAAGTCTCAAAATCTCATTGATTTACAAATTATTCACTTTTTTCACTGATAAATTCAAATATAAAGGAATAAAAGTTTACAAACTTGTTTAGGGACTTCTTTTAGATTGAAATCTAATTCCAGCCCTGCATTTAGGAAAAGATTTGAACATAACTTGGATAAATTTATAATACCATAGAAAAATTTCTAGATTGAAAAGATCATCATCAAGTTACCAACTGCCTTGGAATACACTCAATGCCATGATGTGGGATATGTATCAGTGTTGCCAGGTCTGGTGAAATTTCATCAGATCTGATGACTTTATATTTAATTTGGTGAAAACTTTACAAAAAGTCACTTTTTGGTAATTTTTAAAGAAATACAGTATTACAAATTAGTACTGCAGTTTTTTTAACTTACTTGGTTTGGAAAAAAAAATATTCATTGCATCCTACTTTTATCTAATAGTTTTGAAAAAAGTTGTACATTACTATTACAACTTCTTTTCAAAACTATTAGATAGGTCTCAGAAGTTGTACATAGTAAAAACTCAGAAGTTCAGAAACTGTCATTAAAAGTATAGAATTGATATTTACATGCAAAATACTATTTCTTCATACAGAGGTCTAACTTTCTATTTATTTTCTTGATTAAACAAATAAATAAATTACAGAAGGCATCAAAAGTTTTAATTTAAAACATTTATTTTAATTGCAAAAATATTCATTATATAAACCACATTTGTTTCATAAATTTAGAAACTCAATAGTATACAGATTACTTTACATATTTTGTTTAGTAATTTTGTGTTGAACACTTGCTATTGTGATTCTTACTTCATTATGAGCAACAAATCTAAGTGGCTAATAAAGGAAGAAAAATTATATCTGTTATTTTAATATTTTTATAAAGATTTAAACTTTTACAAGGTCTTATTATTATTTTTAATTATAAAGTGTCATTAACTGACTGACTGAAAATTATTTTATTTTGATTTAGTTATAAGGAATCCTGATGCATTAGTTAAATATTCTGCCATGACTCAAAGAACAAGCATAATGAAGAGACTTGGACCCAAACCAACTTTATCAAAATCTTTAGCTGATTCTTCTACAGAACCAACTTCTCTAATAATAAAAAAATCTATAGAAGCTGCAACAGCAATCCGGAGATTTCCAATTACGTCTGCAAATAAATATAACACTGCTGGCATTCTTGGTATGTTTCCAGTTGAATTAATAATGATAAACATATATTAATTTCTGAGGATTTTTGTTTTTGGTCATCAAAATTATCATAAATAATTTTTGTTAATGATAAAACTATTTCCCATTGTCTACTTGTGAAGTATTTTTATTTCACATATTCAGAATAATTTTATATATATAATGGTCATTGATGTGAGTATCTGAAATCAATTGAATTGCCAGGCATTTGTGACATACATTGGGTGAAAAGTGGTTTAGTCTGTTTTGACAACTGCCAAGTTAAATTGGAAAGACCATAACCTTATTTTGGTTTTTGTTATTTTATTCTTCTTCTTCTTCATGTGCCATGCCCGGTCCCCCGGACGTCGGCGATCACCAAGGAGAGAGAGTTCCTATCTTTGGCCGTTCTCATTACCTCCCCAATGTTTTGTATGCCTGCCTATTTTTTAATATTGTCCATCCGTGATAAATGTCTTCTGCCTCGTTTACGCTTTCCCTCAATCTTTCCATTGAGGATTAGTTGTGGGATTTTGTATTTTTCTCCTCTAGTGATATGTCCCAAGTATGCAATCTTTCTGCATTTGATTGTTGACAGCAATTTTCTGTTTGTTCTTGCTCTGCTTAGAATTTCGTTGTTGGTCACTCGATCCGTCCATGGNTTATTATTTATATTTTGCAGATTCAAAATTCTTCTGTATTTCAAAGATTAGGTCCTTCTAAAACTCAGGTAACTACATCTAGTCCTGCCAATATGAATGACGATGATGAGGATGATGAAAGAAATAAGGCAATTTCACCTTTACCTTACCAAGGAGTTTTAAAAATTACAGGAATAAAGAAGACAATTCCTTCGAATACAATAAAAATTACAAAAGGTTTGCCATAAATTATTTTTAAAATATATGTTTAATTTAATTAAAATAATAATAATTGTGTAGTTTATTAAAAGTTCTGTTAGGCTGCCTTCAACAGTCTAATGTTAGTGTTTTATGTCACTTTGTGATGCTTTCTGCATTTTTTGTAATTTACAATAATTTTTTGAAAATAATGTATAAATCTAATATTATTTACAAAAAATTGTTATAAATTACAAAAATTTATAATTATTCATTATCAGCATTGTCTCCAGTATATTATTCTGAAGATAATGCTGTTTTGTCAGAAGTTTTACCAGAAATTATTAATACCTTTATTAAGTGGAAGATTCTTTTGTTAAAAATGAAAGTTCTGAATGTATATATATTATTTATAATTATAATGAAATTGAAGTTAGACATTATAGATACATTCAATTAGAGATGATACAATACTGAATTCTACCAATATGATTCAGTACTAATAATTTTTCAATCAATCTGTTTCAATACTTGCTTTTATCTATACTCTACAGTTGTCTGTAATAAATGAAAGTCTCAAAATCTCATTGATTTACAAATTATTCACTTTTTTCACTGATAAATTCAAATATAAAGGAATAAAAGTTTACAAACTTGTTTAGGGACTTCTTTTAGATTGAAATCTAATTCCAGCCCTGCATTTAGGAAAAGATTTGAACATAACTTGGATAAATTTATAATACCATAGAAAAATTTCTAGATTGAAAAGATCATCATCAAGTTACCAACTGCCTTGGAATACACTCAATGCCATGATGTGGGATATGTATCAGTGTTGCCAGGTCTGGTGAAATTTCATCAGATCTGATGACTTTATATTTAATTTGGTGAAAACTTTACAAAAAGTCACTTTTTGGTAATTTTTAAAGAAATACAGTATTACAAATTAGTACTGCAGTTTTTTTAACTTACTTGGTTTGGAAAAAAAAATATTCATTGCATCCTACTTTTATCTAATAGTTTTGAAAAAAGTTGTACATTACTATTACAACTTCTTTTCAAAACTATTAGATAGGTCTCAGAAGTTGTACATAGTAAAAACTCAGAAGTTCAGAAACTGTCATTAAAAGTATAGAATTGATATTTACATGCAAAATACTATTTCTTCATACAGAGGTCTAACTTTCTATTTATTTTCTTGATTAAACAAATAAATAAATTACAGAAGGCATCAAAAGTTTTAATTTAAAACATTTATTTTAATTGCAAAAATATTCATTATATAAACCACATTTGTTTCATAAATTTAGAAACTCAATAGTATACAGATTACTTTACATATTTTGTTTAGTAATTTTGTGTTGAACACTTGCTATTGTGATTCTTACTTCATTATGAGCAACAAATCTAAGTGGCTAATAAAGGAAGAAAAATTATATCTGTTATTTTAATATTTTTATAAAGATTTAAACTTTTACAAGGTCTTATTATTATTTTTAATTATAAAGTGTCATTAACTGACTGACTGAAAATTATTTTATTTTGATTTAGTTATAAGGAATCCTGATGCATTAGTTAAATATTCTGCCATGACTCAAAGAACAAGCATAATGAAGAGACTTGGACCCAAACCAACTTTATCAAAATCTTTAGCTGATTCTTCTACAGAACCAACTTCTCTAATAATAAAAAAATCTATAGAAGCTGCAACAGCAATCCGGAGATTTCCAATTACGTCTGCAAATAAATATAACACTGCTGGCATTCTTGGTATGTTTCCAGTTGAATTAATAATGATAAACATATATTAATTTCTGAGGATTTTTGTTTTTGGTCATCAAAATTATCATAAATAATTTTTGTTAATGATAAAACTATTTCCCATTGTCTACTTGTGAAGTATTTTTATTTCACATATTCAGAATAATTTTATATATATAATGGTCATTGATGTGAGTATCTGAAATCAATTGAATTGCCAGGCATTTGTGACATACATTGGGTGAAAAGTGGTTTAGTCTGTTTTGACAACTGCCAAGTTAAATTGGAAAGACCATAACCTTATTTTGGTTTTTGTTATTTTATTCTTCTTCTTCTTCATGTGCCATGCCCGGTCCCCCGGACGTCGGCGATCACCAAGGAGAGAGAGTTCCTATCTTTGGCCGTTCTCATTACCTCCCCAATGTTTTGTATGCCTGCCTATTTTTTAATATTGTCCATCCGTGATAAATGTCTTCTGCCTCGTTTACGCTTTCCCTCAATCTTTCCATTGAGGATTAGTTGTGGGATTTTGTATTTTTCTCCTCTAGTGATATGTCCCAAGTATGCAATCTTTCTGCATTTGATTGTTGACAGCAATTTTCTGTTTGTTCTTGCTCTGCTTAGAATTTCGTTGTTGGTCACTCTATCCATCCATGGGACTCTCAGCATCCTTCTGTGAATCCACATCTCAAATGCTTCCAGTCTTCTTTCTGTATTCCTTTTTAATGTCCAGCTTTCCATACCATAGAGGAGAACTGACCAAATATAACATTTGGCCATTCATTGCCGTAACTTCAAATTTAAATTGTTGTTGCAGAGCAGGGTTTTTATTTTTTGGAAGGATGTTCTAGCTGCTGCTATCCTGCATTTAATTTCTTTCCCTGAATCTAGATTTTCTGTAATTATGTTATTTTATTAATATACAGTAAACTTTATTTATTTATTCATCATTTAAGCTTACCATCTTATCCAGGAAGTAGGAAAGCAATATATGCACTATACTAGTGTATGCCCTATTTAGGCTTATGTTCATTCATTGTTTTAAATATTGGGACCCAGTAGGTCCCAAAAGTAAATGCATTGTGTATGCCTGTATTATATAACTAAATAAATTTTTATTACATAGGTGCACAATACTGTAGGAAAAAAAATCACAGAAAACAATTTGCTATATTGATATTTAACAGTTTATGAATATCAAGAATGTCAGTTTATTATATTCAAGAATATTTAATGTGTTTAGACAGTGACATATTACTTTGGTCATAAATGAACGATATTTGTGTCATTTTATTAATGTTAGTCTATTGTGACTGTAATCTATTGGTAGGACTTACTATACTGATTTAATTGCAAATGAAATTAGAGAGATTGATTTAGTCTATTGGTTCAAAAGAATAAGCTTTCTTTATTTGCACCTGTATGTATACAAGTGCAAATAAAGTATAATATATTTTCTTGTGTTTTGAGTCTTTTTGTTCTTTATCAGCAGGTGTTTTATCAGTTATATTTCTAAAATACAAACCAAATTTTTAAAATTAAACAATAAAAATTTAAATTTATAAAATTTAAACCATAATTACTTACATAAAATATTTCAGATGACTTATTCCTGACTTATGCATAAATCTTCAGTTTTTCCAATTCCTGAAGGATAAAATATCAAATAAAATGTTATTGTTCTGTAATTTTTACTTTTAGTCTGGTCAAAAAACTTTTTCCTTTAATTAATTAATTCATTGATTCATTATAAATTTTTCTTTTTTTTATCATTTTTTACTCACTTATTTACTTTTTTTTTCTCATTTCTCTTTCCTTTGTTTATTTCTTTCACTCTTGTAACATAGTTGACTGTACTTTCTTTTTCCTCTCTTATTCTTCTGCTGTTGTCATATTTAAATAACAATATTATTAAGATGCCCTCTATAAATATAATTGTTCCATATTGAATGTATTTCTTTTCCATTATTATCATTGATTTTATTTTTACCTTATTATATATGTGTGTGTTTACAAAGTTAGCTTTTAAACATGTTTCTTTTTTCTTTAATATTTTAACTGGGTTTTTTATTAATTCACATTTTTTCTTATTGCAATGACATGCTACTGTATTTGAGTAATTTTTCTTAACTGATCTTATATGTTATTTAATTCTTATTTCCAATTTTCTATTTGTTTCTCCAAAATATGTTAAATTATTGGGCTATAATTTGAAAAATTATAGACTTATAAATTCTCACTGTTGTCTGTGTGTATGTCAGTCTGTCCTTCCTTAATCTCAAGAAGAGTGTTAGATGAATTGAGACCAGATACGGAAAGCTTAGGGGAAGAAGTCCTCAATTAACTACAGTAGAGCATCGATTATCCGATCTTCGATTAACTGTCACATCGGTTAACCGACCGTCCTAGTTGGCAAATTTCAAATGTCCGCTAGTGATGTGGCGCTACAATATTTGGCTATGTCTTGGCTACTTTAATATAATTTTTGTTAAATTGTTGCGTGGTTTAGCTGGCAACACTGGCTCGACCATAAAAGGGAGGACAGTATTTAAACAAGATTTAATTTTCTAATTATTAGTGGTTGTTTGTTTTGTGAGCAATAAAATAATTTTTAACGATACAATAGCGACGATATTATTTTTTAAAAAATTTTTGTTAGGCTTAACATCGATGAAAATTCAACACGAAATAGTTTAACGATATATACTAATTACATTTAACTAATTAATAGCGATACACTAATATACTATACTAATAATGTATTTTTTTCATTATTTTCAGTTATCCGACCAACCCGAGTCCCCAATTGAGTCGGATAATCGATGCTCTACTGTATATACAAACATAAGGTATAGATCGGAAGTCACATGATTTCAATGCAAACATTTTCTCCGGAAAGGAGTTTTGTAGATGACCATCATGACTGTTGTTGTCAGGAAAAATATGATGTACAGGGCAAGACACTAATAATTTGAGATCCAGATCATACATTTTAAATTTAAAATATGATGAAAAATTGCAGCCTGGCATTATGAAGATATCACAATAATTTTTGCTCATTTAAATAACTATAGTCTGTTTCAAAATTATAAACACATCCAACTTTTTTCAATAACAAAAACATTAACAATATTAATGTATTTATTATATTATTATGTTGTTTACAACATCAATTTAAACATTTTCTGAAATTTTTAAAGCTATCTGACAATTACAAAAAAAAATTATCACAGATTTTCAATTTTTGATTGTTTCAAAAGTATAAACACGGGTGCATAAAAAATGATATGTGATGTTTCAATATTTTTCAGGTTTACCATTTGATTTAATTAATTCAAGTATTCTATCAGGCATACATTTTACTAGTTTTTGAAGTTTTTCTTGTTTAATATTTTCGCAACAATTCATGATAGCTAATTTCAATTCATTTAGTGTTGTATTGTCTGTTTTGGCCAACAAGACGACTCATAATGCACAAACATTCTCTATCAGGTTCATATCAGGGCTCCATGATGGCCAATCAATTACATTAATTTTTTTTCAGCAAATCAATTTTCAGTTGACTTTTATGCAGAATGGCAGCATTATCCTGTTGGAATTGCCAGTTTTCTTGCCCAATAAGTGATCCAAAAATTATTAAATTTTGGTACAACAGTTCTTGGTACTTTTCTGAATTCATTCTACCTTCTATAAATACAATATCTGTTTTACCCCTCCCCCATCCATCACACCATCACAGAACCCCCATCTTGCTGTCTGTCCATTCTGACTTCTTTGTTCTTCCTGAAATCATGACTATAACTGTCAGGTCCATCCAAATTCCATTTTTTTTTTTCATCTGAAAGAGTATTTGTTTTCACTCCTCTTTCCATGTCATCTTGTCTTTGGCCCACTTTAATCTAGCTGTTTTGTGCAATTGTGTTAATTTCAGTTTGCAGCCATTTTTGTAAATTTGGCATTCTTATGATTATGCATACATCTCCATACAGTTATTGGTGAAACTGCAATTGGCAATGTTGATGCTAAAAAACCTTTCTTTCATTTCTAGGTGTAAGGAGTTTAGGTCTTCCACATCATTTATTTCTGCCATAATTTTCACCTTGAATTAACACATTTCTCACAGCGCATATATATCGATTTATAGCTGCCAAAATTTGTCTTAGAGATTGTCCTGCTCCTTTTAGTTGGTAAATTTTATGTATTTCCAACTCTGTTAGTGTTTTTCCACAAGATATTGTTGTAAATCACAAAAAAACTGTTTAAAATTGATGCCATGTTTGTAATAATATATGATACTACCCTCTGGTAAAACTAATTAAACCAATAATTACATATTGAATGTATTTCTTTTCCATTATTATCATTGATTTTATTTTTACCTTATTATATATGTGTGTGTTTACAAAGTTAGCTTTTAAACATGTTTCTTTTTTCTTTAATATTTTAACTGGGTTTTTTATTAATTCACATTTTTTCTTATTGCAATGACATGCTACTGTATTTGAGTAATTTTTCTTAACTGATCTTATATGTTATTTAATTCTTATTTCCAATTTTCTATTTGTTTCTCCAAAATATGTTAAATTATTGGGCTATAATTTGAAAAATTATAGACTTATAAATTCTCACTGTTGTCTGTGTGTATGTCAGTCTGTCCTTCCTTAATCTCAAGAAGAGTGTTAGATGAATTGAGACCAGATACGGAAAGCTTAGGGGAAGAAGTCCTCAATTAACTACAGTAGAGCATCGATTATCCGATCNTATACATTTTGAATAATATAACTATCTTTATGTCTGGTTATTGTTATGTCTTAATAATTTTTACTATTTTTTGCTTTTTTTTTCAATTTCAAATTGTATGTTGTTATTTATTTTGTTAGCTTCTTCACATATATTCTTTTCATTTGTTATGGTTTTATCAAACAAAATTATGCAATCATTTACATACCTGTTATAAAATTTAATCTCTTCTATTTTTCTTACTTTTTAATCTATTGAAATCATTAAAATTTCTCCTGAGATGTAAGTTCCCATTGGTATTCATTTGATTTGTATATAATAATTTTGATGCTGAAAATAATTCTTTTCTATTACTAATAAATATAAATCAATTATCCATATTGGTGTATTTAATTTAAAGATACTTTTACATCTTTTTTTGTAATACTAGGGTACATTAATGTCATTTTATGTTTCACATCATTGACCATAATATATATACTATATTTGACTTGAGTAAAGATTTTTTATCTCACTTCTCACTAAACAAAAGTTTTTATAATTTGAATTCTGCATAGCATTTCTCTCTTACGACAATTTTGTGAAGTTTGAAAACGTTTTCATTAAACATTTTTTATTGCTGGATAGTTAAAGGTTTATTTTATTTTATTTATATTATTCATTCCAGTATAAGTTCTTGTTTTTATTTATTTAATTTTGTGAAGGTTAATTAATATTGTTTTAAGATTAGATGTTAATTTATTCTACTTTTTTTACAATGATAAATTATAATTAAAGATATGATTTGTCTACAATCAATGATGAGCAACTTTTTCTGGATGCAGGCCACCAGTTGTAGCTTTAAGCCTCCAAATAACAATGTACTCCATAAGTTCCAGTACACTAGGTACTAAAATAATTCTCATGTGTCCAAAACATAAGGATGGATGGCATTTGTGCATGAATAGAGAATTGTAGATTAAATCAGAAAAGTATGGCAATAACTGTATTACTCAATATCTAGCACAGAATAATACAAAACTTATGCAAAACAAATTGAAGCAATAAAATAAGTCTTTATGAAAAAGATACATAAAACAGTTGGATATAGGTGGACAAAGGATGAAAAGTGCTTACCAATATCCTGGAAGAGAGACTTGTCATAGAATGTGTCTATCTCAAATTGCAATCCTGCACTCATAATTCCATGGTAGCTTGTTACCAAGTGACTCAAGTCCTCTTAGGGCACTTGTGTTCATCCTTAAGTTTTGGTCACATGTGTAAATGCTAATGATATATAAACTAGTAAAATATAGTTTATTCTTATTTTTTCACTGGTCAAGTTCAGTTTGAATGTTCTTTGTCACAAATATCAGCTTAATTAGTGTTGCATATTAACACAAGACAGTAAATAGGAAAAAAAATTACATTGCCAAAGGGTTGCATATCAGGACCTTGCAGGCCATGTATTGCTCATGGCTGATCTACGCCATATGCTATAAGATTTTTTTTTCATGTGCAATAAACATTTTTAGTTTTAGGATAATATTTACAGTTGATAGAATAAATTCAACATTGAAATTAAAACATTGTTTATAATGTATTGCTTAAGTTTCTGCATAGATTATCTGTATATGATGTAATGGAAGCATATTTTAACATATTACGATTAAAAGTTTTTAAAAATCTGTGTTAATATAAATTTGAATTTTGTGAATCAATTAATGTGTTTTAAGCAGATTTGGGCTATTAATATTTTTAAGTAATGTTTAAGTCATTTTTTAGCTCAAATATTTTAAAAACTTAAATGCAAAATTTAAAAATATATTTATATCTTCATTATTTTAAATCATCCTTGTTTCAAAATATTAATATATCATTTATTAATTATTTAGTTAATTTATAATTTTATAATATGAAAAGTAAGTTTCTTTAAATAATTTATTTTATTTTAGGTAACAAGTCAAATCTGAAAAGGATAAACATTAAGAATAGATTAGGACAGAAGTTACCAACAGGAAAAACCAATGCCATACTTAAGAGGACAAACGTTATTAATTTAAGGAATGTAAAGAAACCAATGTCTGAGAGATTAGGACCTCCTAGGATCACATTATAAAATAGAATATGACAAAAAGTGAATAGTCTATTCAGAATATTTTAATTTATGAGTAATTTAGTTAATAATTAAGAACTGGTTTTAATTTTAAATATTACATACTTTGATGACGTTTTTGTTTAAGCAATAAAAATTTAAGTTTCAATGTTCAGTAAACACAAATTTTTTAAATATATTTTTGTGAAAACAATAAAATTTTACTTCATTAAACAGTAATAGAAGTACTGTACCTGATGGTATTTAATTGAGTCAACATTGTACATATTGACAGTGTGCCTTTTCATTTGTTCTGACTTTGGCTTCATTTCATTTCACTTTTATTTGACATAATTTATAGTAAACAGTAATTACATAATAAAGTTGTTTTTTAATAAATTGCATTATTTTAAAGGAAAATGATTTTATTATATTTCACAACATGGATGGGCATTACATTATCAATTTTCAGCATTGTATTATTTGTGTGTTAAAGTTTTCAATGGTTAAAGTATGATAAAAATTTCAAATCCATAATTTCTTTTAATTGTTTTATTTCTTTAGTAAAGTAATGTCAATTCAGGCTTTAAAGATTGAATAAAAACATGAATTAAAATAATTGTTGTAATGTTTGAAGAACTATTATAAATCAGTGAATTATTCATACTTTAGTCATTTTTTTTCATGAATAACGTTTTCAGCTTATTTATTATAGGCCATAGTCATGGTTAATATTATAAATGTTCCAAAATGGAACATACCATTTTTATTCAACATTATTTGATACATTTTGAACAAAAGCATAATTGTAACCATTTACATGCTGATTTTGTAATGTGTGGCACAAACACAGAAAGATAAAGATACATATACAGTAGAGCATCGATTATCCGACTCAATTGGGGACTCGGGTTGGTCGGATAACCGAAAAGAATGAAAAAAATACATTATTAGTATAGTATATTAGTATATCCCATGTAATTAGTATATTAGTATATTGCTCTTAACCTACTTCACATTGAATTTTCATCCATGTTAAACCTAACAAAATTTTTTTTTAATAATAATCGTCACTATTGTATCGTTAAAAATTATTTTATTGCTCACAAAACAAACAACCGCTCATAATTAGAAAATTAAGTCTCATTTAAATACTCTCCTCCCTTTCATGGTCGAGCCAGTGTTGCCAGCTAAAACACGCAAAATTAACAAAAATAATATTAAAGTAGCCAAGACATAGCCAAATATTGTAGCGTCACATCACTAGCGGACATTTGAAATTTGCCGACTAGAACAGTCAGTTAAACAATGTGACGGTAATCGAGGGTCGGATAATCGATGCTCTACTGTAAGTAAAAAATTAAGAAAAATAAAATATAAACAATAGATTTGTAGTCAGCTATTTTAAGAGTCGTAATTTGAGAATAAGCCCATTTGTACATGAGGTGTATCATAGATATATATTAGATGTGACAACAGCTTAAACTATACATGAAGTAGAAGTGTTGCATGTTTGTCACAATATACAAGCTTCATGACACTGGGTGTATCATTCTGTTGGTTGTTAGGCATACATCACTCAATTTGTTTATGACTTTTTTGCTTGTCTTGTCTTTGAATAAGTGTATCCACAATTTCAACAAGTTCTTGAAATGTATTTTTGCTCATTCTGTAAAATGTTTAAATTTTGCATCGTTGACAATTCTCTAGCAACAATGATTAATCTGCTAGTTCTTAGCAAATATTTCATGTATGTATGAAATATTTGCTAAATATCATTATTCCTCATTTACACCAGCAAATGTTGACATTTAGCATGCACTGATGGTGAATGTTGAATAAAAATATTTTTATTATGTTAAGACAAAAATGCAACTTTTTAATATGTCAAAATAGGAGAAAGCTTAAGTAACAGCACATGTAAATAAACTGTTGAATCTAAAACATTCTAAATTATTAAAGAAAATAATACAATAATAAACTTATACATAAATTATGTGATTAACATTATACAATCTTATTTATTGCAACAACTTAAATTGTTGTGGCACTTTGAATTTCACAAGAGTCCTTTGCTTTTACAACTGCATTTATTCATGGAACACTTCTTTTTGCAATGACAGTGTGTATAGCCTTGCCCTCCACTTTTCAAATTATCTGCAGCTGCTTCTTTCAGCAATATTTCTTGAGAAGAGATTTCATCTATGGAAAGTAATCTTTCTTTACAAATTACAAACTGATTACGGGTATAGAGCTGCTTGTGGGTACCATTTTTGTTTACTAATTTATAAAAGTTGGAGTCTTCTATTCCAACAACAACTGCCAACATATTTCGGGCATCTGTACGGCCATGGTCAACATCAGGTACTTGTATTCATACGGTATCACCAATTTGAGCAGAAGGAAACGGTGAAGAATTTGGCGACAGACTGTCGCCTCTCTGTTGACATCGGCTTCTTGGGTGTCATTTCAACCTCCACCAAAGCTTATCTGTGCTTGTCGACATACATTGGTGATTGTTCGAATGTATAATAATAGAACCAAATATTCGGTCTTTCACCGATGTATTTTGTGTGTGTCAACATTCTCTAATTTTGGTCTTTCACAGTAACATATATATATACTGTATACATGTTATGGACAAAGTGATTAATACAGGCATTATGAATAATGACCAACAAAATCGGGCATTTTAATAAATTTCAATAAGTTATCAAATTGATCGGTCATTATGAATATTGCTATCATCTAGTTGGGCAAAGTGATAATAATACATTGAGGCGTGATCATCCAAAATATGCTAGCCAATCAGCACTCGCATCTGGGTTGTGTGTGTGTATTGCATTTAGTACTGAATTTGGCGACAATTGTGACTCACCAAAAAGAGACCAAATTTGTGCTCTCGACGGATTCCTCCTGGAGGGGAGCCGCTGGAGGCCACCGATTGTTTAACGGCGCTAGTTATTGATTTATGATAGTTCTTGAACACATGTATCAATAACTAGTGACGTTAAACAATAGGCGGCCTGCCGACCACTCCCCTCTGGGAGGATTCCGTCGGGAGCACAAACAGTTGCGACCGCCGCCATGATGGTGCACATAGGTAATATTTTACCATTTAATTCATATAATTAATAGTACTTAGTTTTAAAAGATTACATGTTCTTTTTAAAATGCTTTGAAATAATTCACAAAAAATAAATATTTCTAAATGAAATAAGTGGAGTTTTTTTAATCAAATTAAAATGTCGCACAATTTAAAATTCAGTACTAAACGCGATACAATCGGCAACTCAGAGTGCTGATTAGCTAGCATCTGTCAGATGATCACTCCTCAATGTATTATTATCACTTTGCCCAACTAGGTGATAGCAGTATTCACAATGGGTGGTCAATTTGATAAATTAATCAATATTTATCACACTGCGCACCCCTTTTTGGTCATTATGAATAATGCCCGATTAATCACTTGGTCCATAACATATATACTAACAAAGATATTTTTTGCATTTCTCCAAATAAAGAAGAAAAAACTTTTGCTTTTCAACAATTACATGAAAGTATGTATTTAGAGTTATTTGCATTTTTAATTGAACAATTTTACATTTATTAATAATTGTGCTAAATAACAAGTAAAACAAAACAAATTGCTTTCTTTGTCAGCTCTATAAACAAAGTTGCAGATGCTCTGATACATGTTTTTTTTTTTTGCAATTCTTTTTAAAGTTTCAGAATACTTCTTGATATTTTTTCCTCCTGATTGAGAAGTTATGAATGAAAATGAAAGAAGAAAACAATTATCACAAAACTAAATTACACCCTTTGTCAGAAAAGTTCCAGGACAAAGCTCATAAAAATTAGAAAATTGCAATTACCAAGTAATGATCTTAGCTCCTGTCAAAGTAGTTCCCTCGGCTATCTATACACAATTGCCAACAATTCTGGAGATCTTGGAAGCGAGCAGAGAAAGCTTCAAGTATGATGCTCGTTAGTTCATTTGTCACAGCCCATTGGAAGTTCTGCAATATTTTGACAAAACATCCCTTTCAGTTGCTTTTTCATTTGCAGAAACAGGAAAAAATCACACTTTTCTGACAAAGTGTATATTGGTTCTCTCATATAAGAAACATTTTTTCTCATTAAACAAATTAAGTTAATTAATAGACACAATATCGAATTTAATGACAATTATTAAAGGAATGGACTTACCAGCAGAAAGTAGTAAAGCTTATAGGAAAGCAAACACACAATGCATAACTTCCAAGCAACTAAACCACTCAGCTATTGTACAGTTGTGTTTGTGGCACCATTAGGTCATATTGGATTGTATATTATATAGGACCTTGTACTAATAGTTTTGCAAAAGTAAACTCCCTCAAATTTTTATCACACCAAGTTTAGATTTTGTCCTCATAAAATATATTTTCTGTAATTAATTTCACACCTTCCTTACCTCTTTCAGCAATAGTTTATTGAAACATTTGTTTTAAATACTGGAAGATGTAAGGAAGGTGTGAAATTTATTATTAAGTTCCAGCTTTGAACTACATATTGTTTATATTTTTCTGTGTGTTCTGGAAAAAAAATTGTCACTATTTCATATTCTTATCAAGTTTTATGTTGTAAATAAAATAAAGAAATACCACATGTTTATAAGAGCTTTTTGTGGTGATTTAGTTCAAGAAAAGTTGACCATTCCATTACTTGGAATTTGAATTCAGATGTCACCTGAAAGGATATTTTCATTCAATAGTACTTTCAAATTCTCCGAGTCATTTGAACTTCAAATAATTTGTCTAATATGAACTTTGCTGTATTAAACCATTTTTCTTACAAACATAATGTAGTACAAATGATAATGAGTTGATGTTCATTTACCTTATTTTAGAAATGATAAAGTTCACTTAGAAGTCTTTCCTTATGCTGTTTAATGTATTATTATTCTAAAATCTTTATAAAAAGCCAAATTTTGAAACAAAATTTCACTTTTAAATGACACTCATTCATATTGGGAAAAAAGTCATACAGAAAGTGATAAGAGAATTCTAAGAACAAAATATTTTTTAAATAAAATAAAACGTTCATATTGAATTTATACAAAAATTACAAATAAAAATTTTATATTTTGGAAATATTTTATAAGCAAAAGTGAACTTCTCATCAGATTTAATAACATCAAATTTACTCTCATTTTGTGTATTTAAAACTTATTTTTAATTTGTTTGAAAAAACTTCTATTTTTATATTTTTCAATAGAAGACTGGGTTATATTTCTGTTCTTGTTTGCAATTTTAGGTAAGTTTCCACAAATTGTATAGACTTCAATAATAATAAGTTTATGATTTATATTTAACAAACATTATATTAAGTTACTTTATTTAATGTTAGAAGACAATTTCTCATTTACATGAAGATATAAGTAAGAATGAAGAAATATTCTTCGTTCTTACTTATATCTTCAAGAATTTATTAATTGTCCATTTTCGTGAGACATACATATATCATATACTGTATTAAGTATATGGTACAGTACATGTATATCTCATAGAATAAAGAATATCAGTGTGTCAACCTACAACCTGTGGTGTGATTGTCCTTTAAATATAACCATATTGTTATTGGGTATGTGAAGAAACAGGTATCACTGCAAATATTTTAAAGAATATTAATTTAGTATAGGTATGCTCATACTGTGTCCAATAGCGTTTAATAAACAAGCATTTCTGAACTAAAGGCTACTATACACCATGGGTTAATCCTCAAAGGAGTAACCATGCATTCCTGATTTTGAGTCATTCCTGGATGTGTGGGGGGGAAATTTAACAGTTTCGGCGAACTGTACCGNCCGGGGCAAGCTGCCCCACCCTCTGCTGAGAGGTTTTCTTCGTTTTTGGGCGATAGGAAATTCGGAAGTTCCTCGAGGACAGGCAGTCTCAAAGGATTAACCAATGGTGTATAGCAGCCTTAAGAGGGATCATAAAAGTGGATTAGTCTGGTTTAACAACTAGTTTTTCCAGTCTAATCTGCTCAAACCAAGTCACTGATAGCTTTTTTCAGCTCTTTATTGTAACTTGGAGTTGATAAACTTTGTTTAATCATACCTCCAGAAGAATTATCATATTTAAGGGGGCATCCATTTTAGGGGTTGGGAAAAGTATATCATTATACACAGTGAGGAGGAAGGGAGTCGAGTCGTCGTCTACATAAACATTTAGTGATATTACTGGCATACAAACTTGTTCTTATAAGTCTACTTTCTAGTAAACTATTTTATGATAAATCAGAAAATATTTGCAGGACTTTTTAATATTAAATGCCGCCATAAACTGGTGGTAATAAATTAGTTCGATCGTCACTCTCTGGATTGCCATCGATTGCCCGTCATCGACTCAACGTCAGTCTACGTCTTAGGATAGAAAGTAGGCGGTCCGTTCGACGTTTCTGGGATCCAAGAAGTTTGATTTTTCGGGCTGCGATCAACTACGTTCATGCGCATTTTTGCTTCGCGTCTTCGCTATGCGGGGATTACGGGAGAGACTTGTCTGATAGATTTTCATAGAAGAAGATAAATTATATCACTGCTTTTATTCAAATTTATAAATCTAAGCGGTCCTCGATTTCATTTTCGTTTATTTATTAAATTTCTTACAAACAGGCAATAAATGGAAGCAGCGGAAGCTAACATCAGTTAGCTTAAGCTACTTTCATTTGGTGATTCACGAAGGGTAGACGAAATGTTCATTGGTTCGTTAGAACTACGTCAAGCGGCGAATTTTCCCGCAAAACAGTCACGTGACCATAAAAATTGCCTCTGACCGCGTCGAAAGCGACGACATTGCCTAGTTTGCGGCAATCCACGACGATCTCATATATAGAGATTTAATGGCTAGTCTGCACACTTGATTGAAATGTGGCATTATTATGCATACTGTCATTCCGATTTACAGTATGAAAATATGTTTGCATTTAAATGACAACAATTTGAAAAAAATAATCCAAAATTCATTATTTAAATATTTATTGTTAAGTTGGATCAATTAGAAGATCGATTTTTGGGAAATAAAATCATCAGATTTTTGTAGAAATAATGAAGATTTTGCAATTTCTACATCTGTGCCTTCTGAACTCTATCATCTCGTGCCATTTAGATGGAAATTTCGTCAAAGTTAACGTCACACGAGAAAAGTTCATCTACGCAGATCTTACACACGCCGACAATCAAATAATGAATTTTGATCTTTCTCCGACACCATCAAAAAGTACAGAAAGTATCCAGCGACAAAATGATAATTCGGATAAACAGAAAAATTCTGATAATCTCTATAATAAAGAATTGCGATTAAAGTTCTTTGCGGTTACATCTTTTGTCGTCCTTTATCTCTTGAGTTGTCAATACGTCCGCAGATTTCATTTCGATTCCGAGTGGCAAAGCAGTCTGATGATTAACAACAATAACGTAGATTCCTTATTATCTTCGCTTCTTATTCCTTACTATATTACTAACCGAATCTTTTTCGCTTGCAGGAAATTGAGTACGAGATGATTAGTGGTTCACACGATGAAAATATCTGGAATAGAAATGAATGGTCTTCGGACATGTTTTCTTCATTTCATTTCAGCGTCGAGGAAAATGGATCCATAAATATGATCATCAAAGATGACACCAAAGAGGAATTGTCAAATCTATTAGGAGAAGAGGAAGAAAGTGAAACGAGTCGTTCCGATTCTCTTGTAGTCATCTCTATGGAAGATGAATTTCAAGAATTGTCGAATAACGGATTAATTTGAATATTAAATTCAAAATTTTCCTAAACATTATATTGTTCGGGAGTAGAAAATATACGAAAATTTTATCTGGATGAATTTTTAGTTTTATTTTCAAATATTAAAATCAGTAATAAAAGTTATTAGGCCTATGTATTAAAATAGTATGGAAGTTACGAATCATTCTTGAACCGTGTATGGGGAAGTCACTCGGCAAAATATGAGTAATCAATTTTCAGTACTTAACAGACGCATGTGTTGTTTCTAGTTCTTAGAGAATATTTCAGTAATACAAGTATTAAAAGTATTTCTGCGGAAGGTAGTATCATTTCGCGATCCATAGTTTGAGAAACGCTGCTTTAGACCATGTTTGTGTGGAGCATCCTTTGTACGAAATTGTAAGCTTCCAGTTTATTTCCAAATAAATGGGTTTCTTTTGTTAAGGTTCTTCGCCTCAGCACGTTCACCATCACCTACATACTATTCCTTATCCCTCGTTCATTTTGACTTGAGTCAAAATGAATTCTCCTTCCCCTCCCCCCGGTCGGCAACTTCGCATGGGTATTAGAATCGTGTCAAATTTGACCCTCCGAGTTTTTGCAAATCTCCATGTTTTGAGATCCCTGAACTTACAAAAGGAAAAGATCTTGTGGATGTGTGTTAGTGTTTATTTTGCTTAATATCTCAGGATGAGGTAAAGACTACAAAACGAAATTTGGCACGGTGGCTTGGAAAGAGCATTGATGCTATTAAATTTGGTGGTTAAAGGTTGGAGAGATACAGGAGGCCACGTGTCATATCTCGAGTGGCATTAGACTTAATGAAAATTTTACTCGTTACTAGCATTTAGAGTTTTTTCTTTACTTTTTTTTTATATAAAACTCATCTTTGTCCTCAAAATTAAACTTTTTACCATTTTATAATAATTAATATAAGAAGTTTTTTATAATAAAATCCCATAACAAAATGAAGCCATACACAATTTTATTTATTATTAATACCGGTAATATAAATATTGCTTTTAAGATAAAATCTCAAGAGCCGGGAAAGTTACGCAACTCGTTGCTAGACTATTTTGACTTATAAAGTTTCATTCTTATTGAATTTTCGCATTTGAATTTACTTCATTTGGCTATATAACGATTGACTTTAGCGATAATACCTATTATGACGAACAATTACCAAAAAGAAGATCGAAATGTTAAAATAATTCTACTCAATTATAAAGAATTCCAGATGTAATAGATGATACAAATCTGGAAACTTTGTTGTCTGCAATCGATCAAAAATGATGCTGCGATCGACCAGCCGATTACGATCAAATTGTTACCAGGATTGCTATATACCAGGAATGGCAATCTTCTTTCAGTGCGCGTGCCAAATAGTAAGCATACCCAGGGCCGGATTAACCCACTTTGGGGTCCTAGACATTTTCTTCTTACCGGGCCTCCTCCCACATAAGAACATAAAAACATATTTTCTTTAGATTTTAGAATTCACAATAACCATATAAAAAGCAATATATCTTTGTTTATTTGTTTATTATATACAGTTGTCCAACAGAAAAGTAAACTATCTTATTTACAAATCTTTTCAAAATAGACAGTTTGACCGGGCCCTTCTAAAATCCGGGCCCTAGACATTTATCTCATTTGTCTATGCGATGATCGGACCTTTAAAAATGTTTGTGCGTGCCGAAGTTTTAGACTTCGAATAACGATATTTAAAGAAATTAAACGAATATGCTTTAATTATTAATAGAATAAATGTAAAAAAGTTAGCCGAAAAAGATGATCAAGTGATAAACCAAAAGAATGATTGAAAAAGACAGGTGGTAAAACGAAATCATAAGATACGTTACGTGCCAGATGATTTTTCCATACGTGCCACTTTGAGCACGCGTGCCATAGGTTCGCTACCCCTGCTATATAAGCGGCCGGATGGCTCTGGGGGACCAGGGTTCGAATCCGAACGGGTCGAAAAATCTCCAGGAATTTTTCGGGGGTGGTCCGTTCGGATATGTCGGGCCCCGTCCCTCACCACCCGGCAGCCCCATTGTGGGCCTGGCCGAACCCATAATGGGCTTGCAAAAAGAGGCCTTCTTAGTGCCCACAGGGCGGAAAGAGTTAAAAAAATCCCTGCTATATATGCAAGCCTAGTATTTTCGCTCGCAACAAGCGTTGCGCAAATTGATTTATAATGGTTTATATTCTATCGCGCCCTCGCAGCTAATAAATGCTTATATTTATGTAGCCGCTATTGTTTTGTGACTTGTATTTTGTGCAAAACACATGAATTCTTAAATTTGCAATTATTTCTTGTATGACTTTTAGCTTATGCCTTATCGCTTGTAACTAGTAATCTTCGTGCACTGTTGCGGGGCCCCTGTTGCAGTGACCAAGTCGTCAATCTAAAAAGTTATATTTCGGATTTGGGAAAACAGGGAAATTACTTGAAGACGGCAAATTATTTACAAAAAATGCAATTAATTTTTTTTCATTGTTGTTTATATTACTATTATTATTGCTAAAGAAATTTAAGCAATAATTATTGTAAAACAATATTATCCTCTACGTAAAAGGTGAATTTTGGATATTTCTAAAATGGGAAATTGTATGAAATCGTGAGTAAATTTCTCTTATTTTGTAGAAAATTTTAGTGTCACAATTGCAAGTAGAATAACAAATTAAACTCCAAAAACTTTTTATGTATCCAAAAATATAACTTTTTAACTGAAATTTCTACATTTCATAGTCAACCAAGCGATGAGGATTTGGATGAAACGGCCAAAGTGAGCATCAAATCCAAGTATATTACTCTCTTATTAGTCTAAAATTTAAAAAATATATATATTTATTTATGTAGTCAAAAGCCGAATCTATCGATAAAGAAGAAAAGCCTGATATTTCTGAGAATATTTCTACTGTAATAATCAAACAGGAAGAGTATCCAGAAAAGGATTCTCCACAGGAAACGGGCGAGGTACTTCCAGAAGAAAATAATGCTGAAGAAGTATGTTTGGATAGTTCAAATGATAATAAGGATGTAGTGAGTAAAACAACTCTTATATATGAAAATTATAATAATCTAAACATCTAACGTTGCATTATATCTAATAAATTAAGCCTGATATTTCGGAGAATATTTCTACTGTAATAATCAAACAGGAAGAGTATCTAGAAAATGATTCTCCACAGGAAACGGGCGAGGTACTTCCAGAAGAAAAAAATACTGAAGAAGTATCTTTGGATAATTCAAATGATAATAAGGATGTAGTGAGTAAAACAACTCTTGTATATGAAAAATATAATAATCTAAACATCTAACGTTGCGTTATATCTAATAAATTAAATAAAAAATTCACTTTTCGCAGGTTGATCAATAAATTATATCGAAAAATCAATTCTTCCGCCAAAGAAAAATTCTTTATAATTAAGCAAATTAGAAAAAAATTTATATACAGTATAATAAATTTAATATTAAAATTTTTTTCTTCCGCAAATATTTAAAATAAATACAAGAACAATGAAATTCTTGAGTATCTTGCTATTAAATGTATTTTTTTAAGATGTAATCGGGTTTTGTAAATGCAGTGATGCCTCGATTTTCGTCCGAAAATAATCGGCGAAATCCGAAACCGACAAAAATCGAGGCAATTACTTCCATATGAATCAATGTAAATCCAATTGATTCGTTCTTGAAACTCCAAAATGTGGGGCCGAGGGGGAAGAAATAAAAAAAACTCAATGAACGATAATATGTGATATATATCGCCATCGTCTCCCTTGCCGTTTGGATTGCCGAGCGGTAACAATCAACGACATGTCGAAGCAGTTGAGTCAGAGATAGATGCCTCGTTTACAAACAACACGACCGTTTATTAAACACGAAAGAAGCTTACAAGATTTCCGCGATCTTGAAAGTTCTACGTTGGCTGCGGCCTCTGGGTCTTTCTCTCCTGTGGTTCCACGATAGTCCCATTTTGAAGGAGTATCCCTTGTTCGAGAATGAACACTTCCATCACGTCTCGACAACTCCGGGACGATGCGGTCGACTTCCGTTGATGGAAAGATGCCGATCCGAGGTCGGGACATGGAGACGAAGATGGGCGCGAGACACACACACTACAGTAGATCTGTCACTTGGAACTTTCGGGAGAAGAAGCCGTCGCGTCCTTGAATTTCCGGGCTTTTATCCGTTTTCCCTCCGATTCCCCTTTCCGATCGGTCTGTCCTCGTCACCTGATGACAATTCGAAACTTTTCGGGGGCGCGGGAGAGGTCAAAATCGAAGTTTAATTCGATCTCCAACCGGAGATGGTCGACGGACATACATTTTTCTATTGTTTAAAATTCTTCTATTGTCTAGCGTCGCGTTTTCATATAAAATAAAAATCTATTTCTAACTACTATATTTTTTTCTCTAAAACAATATTATTTTAACGCGAATTTTAGTGAGGGTTCGGACCTGTCCAGAGCCTCACAAAAATACATACAAAAAACGCATTTCATAGAGAATAAATATAGTGTTTAATTTTAAAATCAATAAGAAATTAATATAAAATGAATATAAAAGCGGCCGATTTCAGCAATCTTAATGTCGCTTTTGTATTTTTCAATGATTTCCTTCTTTAACTCGATCGTGTTTCTGGCCCTCTTCTTCGAAGGGCTGCTCTGAAAACTTTCTTTGGTCGTATGATGGAGCAAAAAGAAAAGGAAAGCAATAGAATTGTTTGGCTAGAGGCGCGGGGTAATAATGTTCACACAACGAAAAAAAAAACACCACATTGAGCAGGAAAATGAGTGGGTCGCCCTTTGTTTTCGCAAAATTAGCAGCGAGGTCACGTGGGCAAGCCTACAAAATCCGAGGCAACCGACGATAACCGATACAAATTTTTTGCAGAAAAATCGACGATAACCGAAGTCTACGAAAACCGAGTTATTACTGTATAAAAAAAATCTTAAATATATGTTTGTTTAAGATCCAGGATTAAATTATTAAATAGAATTCTGGATTCGTGCGGTAAAATCATAAATTCTAGAAACTTTTTTTTATTTGTGATTTTAGGCCCTTTACCGCTCAGAGAGTATGAAGAGGCCAAAAATTCTAGAAACTGAAAATGATTTCATTTATTGTAATTTCAAGAACTACCCAATTTATTATAAAATATAATTATTACATTTAACGAGAAACGGCAGCCTGTCTCAATGGGCCTGCCTCCTGACAAATTTTTAGTAATTATTTAGCCTTATAGCCCAATAAAGAAAAACCCCAGGAATCTTTAAAGATGATATAATCGGAAATGTTGGGTTCTGTCCGATCGCTCCATTGTGGGCTTGGCCAAATCCATAAGTTTTTCTTCTAAAAAATATGAAATATAAGCGAAATTTGCCATTTTGAATGTTTTTCTTGAACAATGAATGCGAATAAGTTCAATATCATTCAAAAACAAATATTCAAAAAACGTTTTTATTTTATTTCTTTGAGTATATACCTACTGTTTGTTTTTACTGCTTATTATTTTAGTAATTACTGTATTGTATTTTTATTCTAATTGCATTAGTCCATTTATGCAACTTTGATTATGGTAGAAGTCCTGTTAAATTCAAGACCTGATAATTAATATACAAGATGGCATAAGACAATCAGAAAAAAATTCATTCAGGTCACGTGTTTCAATTTTGCAACACGCCTAAAAATAAGAAAAAATCTTTTTTAATAATGCAGACAAAATTATATTAAATTGCCATCAAATTTGCTATTTTATCCATAAAAGGGAGATAATTTATGCCTTTCTATTGTAGCGCTTAATGTTCTAAAATGTTTGGCTGCAATTTGAAAAAATTGTAAACCTATAAATTTCTGCTGTCGTCCGTCCGTCTTTTCTTAATCTCGAGAACGAAGTTAGATAGATGAAATAAAAGACCAGATATGGAAACGGTAGGGACAGGAGGCCCCGATGAATTATATACGAACTTCCTCCAAAAGCAGTTAAAATATGACCGGTACGACTATTGTTCCTATTTTAGGAAAATTATGATGTACCGGGACAAGCCACTACTAATTTGAGGTGGAGAGCATAAATTTAATTTAAATAAATAAATAAATATGATTAAAAATTGTAGTCCAGCATTGTGACCATGTCACAATAAATGCTTGTTTGCTTTACGTTTCATTGGATAAAGTTACAGTAAAATCTGTCTAAAATGGAAGAAATTCTTTACTACGGAGTGATTTTCTATGTTAAATTCTACTGTAAGTCAGAAATCTGTCCAACACGAAAACGCAAATCTCGACGGGAGTGGTGGGAGCGCATGTGTGCCAACCCACCCTCCCAGGCAACACTCTATCAAATTTTTCGTAGATTACAGAATCCCCCACCGACCTCGACCGCCATCAACATCATACAGACAGCAGACACCTTACTCACCCCACACTTCAGGCCAACGCCCTCGCTAATCACTTTGGTAGGGCCTGTCAGACAGGCACCTTCGCCCCTCCCGACAGGACCTCAACTCCAAGATGACAGCCCATTTCACATAGTTGAACTACAAAGGGCCCTTCATCGGACCCTACGTAAGACCCCAGGCCCTGACGGGGTATGTGCACAAGCGTTAAGATCTCTCTCCCGGGGGGGGGGGGGGAACTGTACTTCNCCTAACCCTAGCGAATACCAAGAGTTAAGTGTATCTTGTATACTTTCAGTAAAGTCTTTTGAATTGGTAGTTTAAATCCATCAACAAATTATCATAATCAGTAAAATATTAATGAACTTTCTGTAGCCTGATTTAACAGATCCGCGATGATTTATTTGAAAATTAGCTAAAAAAAAAATGCTATTCGTAAGAAAGATGTTTTTTATATGAAAAGGATTTATTGAAAATTATACATTTGCAGCATTTTTATATACACAATCTGTTATTGAATGTCTTGTTTTTGTAGGTACATTTCTGAATCGAGCGTAGTCACGATCCCATGTGCCAGAACCGCACGAGTAGAATTTATAAATTCCATTAATTTTTATACAGTACGACACTGTTAACTTTAGTTGGCTCTCGATTCCTCTGTGGCTTTCCATTCGTAGAAATCTGTCAAATACAGTACATAATATTTTTATTTACANATATGATTAAAAATTGTAGTCCAGCATTGTGACCATGTCACAATAAATGCTTGTTTGCTTTACGTTTCATTGGATAAAGTTACAGTAAAATCTGTCTAAAATGGAAGAAATTCTTTACTACGGAGTGATTTTCTATGTTAAATTCTACTGTAAGTCAGAAATCTGTCCAACACGAAAACGCAAATCTCGACGGGAGTGGTGGGAGCGCATGTGTGCCAACCCACCCTCCCAGGCAACACTCTATCAAATTTTTCGTAGATTACAGAATCCCCCACCGACCTCGACCGCCATCAACATCATACAGACAGCAGACACCTTACTCACCCCACACTTCAGGCCAACGCCCTCGCTAATCACTTTGGTAGGGCCTGTCAGACAGGCACCTTCGCCCCTCCCGACAGGACCTCAACTCCAAGATGACAGCCCATTTCACATAGTTGAACTACAAAGGGCCCTTCATCGGACCCTACGTAAGACCCCAGGCCCTGACGGGGTATGTGCACAAGCGTTAAGATCTCTCTCCCGGGGGGGGGGGAAGAACTGTACTTCTGGATAAATTGAACGATATCTGATCCAGGCGGTCTTGCCCTTCAGAGTGGACAACCGCCATGATAATCCCGAGCCTTAATTAATTAAACCAGGCCGAGAGGCGACAGATTGTTCAGCTTATCGTTCTATCTCACTCACATCACACATAGCTAAGGTGTTTGAAAGGATGCTTCTAGACAGGATTCAGAACATGGCTGTCCAGAATGACATTTTCCACAGGCATAATTTTGGGTTCCTTCCCTACAGAAAGGTAGAGGAAGCGCTGGTAGTTTTACACCATCACAAAGCAGTGGCAAGAGCGAGACGCCACTGGGTCTACTTAGTGGCCTTGGATCTAGCGGGGTCATATGACTCTGTCTGCCAAGAGGGCCTCTTGGCCAAACTGGGGCACTATGGCTTCAGAGGGAGGTTACTCAGGTGGCTAACCTCATTTCTTCGAAATCACACATTCTAGGTTCGCAGGCGAAGGGCGCTCTCCCACCCCAGGGCCTACCCACACGGTGTCCCGCAGGGTAGTGTGCTGGCTCCGTTCCTTTTTACACTATACATGGCCGATCTATGGTCGGTACTGCCCACTAATGTAACGGCAATTCTTTATGCTAATTACCTTTATCTGGTTTCCAGCAGTACCAGCCCAAGTCTGGCCACTCACCGTGCACAGACAGTATTGAACCATATAGAACAATGGGCGACGACTTGGAGCCTGTCTTTCACCGCAAGCAAAAGCGCCTCCATAGAATTTTCGGCAAAAATGAACCGCCCCCTGCTTTCCTTGACTCTTGGTTCTGGCCCCATCCCCCAGCGCACATAAATGTGGATCTTGGGCATCTTTTTCACTCAGACTCTCACGAAACCTATTTGCGTACTAAA